TACGACACGGGTTCGGGGAAGAAGTGTTCACCGCCCACGCTAAAATAAGCTTTGGCATGCGAAAAAACCTGAAAAAAAAATTACAAACGAGTTACATTATATTATTATACAGATACACAATAATATGTATATAATATATTACATATCATTGGTAATTGGTATACGTATATGAATACCTATTATAATATTTTATAAACGAGTGTGTTATGATTTCAATAAAAGTGTTCACAGTTACTGTTTTTGAGCAGCAGTGGATGAACGTATTAGCTTTTAATTATTATATAATCATGCGTGCCTGGGTATTTGAAACTTGACATGAAACTTAAAATATTGACATTTGCCGTTTGTATGTTCCAAAAACCAAACAAAAAAAATAACAAAGTCGCGTTTCAATAGTAAGAATATTATTATTATTATTGTTTGTGAGTGATGTGTCACTATTTGTACGGTGTATAGTGTATACAACAACGTGTAGATATAATGTAAAATATATACATATCTATGGGCTTATGTGTGTGTAAAAAATAATTCTAATTTTCCCAAACTTTTCAAGAAATACCTCTGAAATAAACAAACTTTTCATATACAGATTTGAATAACGCGTCGTACTTGTACACACTGTACGTGTATACAAAACTGAAACTTTGCATACATATTAGGTCTTCGGCTCACACACGTTCACTTGCATTTAAAACAGTGCACGTATTATTCGGCCGTCTTGTTTCTTATTCGATTCGATGTCGTCAATTTCAATAATATGCTTGACACGAAATAGAATAGAATCCATTTACAAACTGCGTACGATGAGGGGGACATTAAACGCGGTGACCGTCTGTCTGTCCCTTTATGCGCGCCACTGCCCGAGGCAATCGGCTATCTTTTCCGAATCTCGGCTTCAATCGTCTTCAAGACGCGGTTATAGACTGGTCACTGGTATACCTATACGATATTCTATATAACAGCAGGTCAACTTCAGGTGCTTAACAATCAAACTACCGTATATAGAAACTATGTAGATGACAGTGACGATGGTATTCACGATTATGCCGCCTGGGAACAGATTTTTAAAAACCCTCTCTTACTAACTAGTAACTTTTTACCCATCACAAACAAAATAAATAATAATAAACACATTTTCACACCATTACAATATTTAAATTCATATGTAGGTATATATTATAGGCTTATGCACACATAAATACACTCAACACCACTTTTTATTCACTTTCCACCAATATTAAAAAAAAACCAGGGCAATAAAATATTAAAAGAAACCTTTGGCATCAAATTAAATTGTACCTTGGTCAGGCTCTATTATACTAGCATTAATTCGGCGACAAACGGCATAACAGTGAATATATCAGCCCATCCGTATTTAACAAAATCTATTTCGGTTGGTGAAAAAAAGATAATCTAAAACTGTAGTCTAAACTAATATTTTGATTAAAAACGGCGGAGACGTAAAGTAATTTTCAATAAATGTTAATTTAACTATTAAACAACCATGTTCAATCCACAATAATTTTAAATTATTTTAATATCTAAATTAATAAATAACTAAGAGAAAAAGTTACTGTAGTGGATTCTATGATATATGATAATGCACTGTTTTTGAAATGTATGGTAAAAAAGACCCGCATTGTATTTCACAAAGGTCATTAAATCAAGAAGAGTTTCAAACGCTTGGTTTCTGTACATATACCCTGATTTCTTAGAACATCATAATTTATTTCACGGACATACGTATAGCCCTGCATTCTGCACTAGTTCGTAAATTGTCATTATTAAATGGAAATTGGATTTCCTGTGTTAAATTGATATTTCCAATCTAAGTTTCAATGGACATTGTATTTATTTGTATCATTAATTCAATTTCAAATTGAATATTTAAATGTTTTCCTAATATTGTCTTCATACTGATTATTTAATGTTGAATTATAATAAATTATGGGTTCAATATGTAGTTTATTCAATGTCCTATAAAACAATATTGCGTACACATAAACATTGATTGTCTTCAAAATTCAAATATTGAATTTTTAATGACTGCTCAATTATTATAAAAAATTATAATTTATAATTTTGGAAGCTTAATAAATATCAAACGTTGTTAAAACCACATTGTATTCATATTTCTACTGATTGGAAATCAAATATTACATTTCCAATCATTGTTCAATAATATTAAGGATATAGGATATAGGAAATAAAATAAAAGGTAATTCAATTTTGTTAAACTTAAAGTTATATTATATTCACATTTCTACTAATTGGAAATTAAACGTTACTGTAGTAATTCAATATTTGCTAAAAGGTATGACCAATTAACAATTAATAATAATATCTCAGATTTTTAGCATTCTTAATTATATTATAATCTTATTTTCATTAAATTACTAACATGTTCATTTACAAATTTAATTTCTAAGTTTTAATAATAAAAACAATCGTCATGTGACACTCTCAATCCATTTATTCTAAAATGCATTACTTGTAATCCTTGACCTTGAGTTATTTAATGAAATGTATCATCTTCATTCCTGTACGCATAACATACAATAATAATGGGCAACGTGTAAATATAATTGGCCCTTATAGAACTGAAAATGATGTTTACAATATTGTACTGTTGATACAACTGATTAAGCGATAACAATGTCTTCTACTTAAACTACCTACACATAACGAGTATGGGTGGAAGACAGTTTTTCTAAAACTTAACGAATAGTGCAGGCGAATGGAAGGAAAATGGATTTAATATTTTTCTATATTCCCACAGATAAATGTATCTTTAAATAGACAGCACAGCACACTAATTAGTGTCTGTAAGGAAGGAATAAAAAGATTTCAATTGTTTTTTTTTTTTTTGTTTTTTTTTTTTTTGTAATAGGGTCAAAAATATTTTACAATTTTAATTAAAAATAAAAATATTACAAATTCAAAACACTTTAAATTTAGCTTAGTATAAAGTTAAATATTAGACACATTACAGCATCTTAAAATTAATTGTATATTTTTATTTATTTCTCTTTCGAAAACAAAGGTTCAATATGAGCGAATATATCACTGCCATCTTCCCATAATTACATAACTTTAAACAGACAATATTTATTTTAGATCCTGAGTGAAACGATGAATGTATTGATTTTAGATGATGTGTTTTTTTTTTTAAATTTTTTTTTGTGTCTGTCATCACCTTTTAGGACAGTAAAAATGCTTAGATTTTCTTCAACAGTATCTTTTCTGATAGGACAGCGAATCTAGTTGGTACTTTTTTTTTGGGGGGGGGGGGGTCAAAAGTAAAAATTTTAAAGTAGTTTTCAAAAGCGCAGTGAAAAGCAAAAGAAAAATTAAGGAAAAACGGGAATTTGTACGCAAAATCTGTTTTCGTAAAAATCGATTTTGGTTTTTGGTGCAACTCAAACAAATGACCTTAGATACATGAAATTATGACTGAATATCTATATTAGCATTTTCTATACACCATAAAAATTCTCCAAATATTTTGACTTATTTTGAACTGTTTAGGCACATTTTCAGTTTCCATTTTTTTAGTTTTTTTTTTATATAAATATCAATAAAATGTTATTTGTTGTTTAAAAAAGCTTGAAAATTTAATTGAAGGCTCCTAGTATATTGTTTCAAAGGCAGATGAAAAAAATTAAAAATAGTGACAATTTCTGTTATAAGCATTTAAAGTTCAAATATTTACAAAATACATAAAAATTACGAAAATTTGGAAATTATTTGGAGTTAGAAATTCATAAAAAATTTTCTTTTTAAATCTAAGATTTGAAAATGTAATACAAGATTCCTTATAAGTTTGCTTACCTTTATCAAAAAAAAAATTTTTACAAGAAAATCAAATTAAATTTTTATGAGCGTTTGAAATTGATATTTTTACAACATTTAATATTCACTCGATTTTTCATGTAACGATTTTCTTATTTTGTTGTACCTACTTAAAAAACGAATGACTGTTGATACATGCAATTTTGACTGAATGTTTATATTAGCATTTTCTATGCACTATAACATTTTCCAAATATTTTGACTTAATTTGAGCTGTTTACGGACATTTTCAGTTTCCATTTTTTTTAGTTTATTTTTCTTTAAATATCAATAACATTTTATTTGTTTGGTAAAGAAGCGTGAAAATTTTGGAAAGCTCCTGATATATTGTTACAATAGCAGTTGAAAAATATTAAAAATACATGGGTACAATTTTTTTTATAAGCATTTAAAGTTCAAATTTTGACAAAATTATCACATTTAAAATTTAACAATAATTTTGTAGTTAAAAATTTATAAAATGTTCAAATTTTATAGCTAAGGATTGAAAATTTAAAATAAGATTCCACGTAAATAGGCTATATATAAATTACTTTATTCACCTTAATATCATCAAATATACTTCGTAATATCATAGGCTGACTGACCGTTTTCGCTCAGAATCGTTTTTCTTATACAATGATATTATATCATTGAATTCAAATTTAACACCATCCATTACAGTGACCCACTTGCAACCTATAGTACAGCAGAGCAACCTTTTTTAAGATGGATTTGATTAAGGTATATTGAAGTTTTAAACACTGTTATTAGGTTAGTTAAAAGTATTTAATTTATGTTGAAGTTGTAACACATTACTATTTTTATATTAATCGGTAATATTAGATATTAAACATAATATTTCTGTGGGTATTTTTGAGTCCTGAGATAATTCGCTTTAGTTCACAAATTAAAACCATTGAATAGCTGGTATTGCATTTACACATCTTTTAAAAATATATTTTTTTCTATTTGAAACGAGTGCATATACAAGAGTAATATTTATACTGGCCTTGTGGCCTATTACAAATCAACAGACATAACGTTGCTTTATATATTTGATTAAAATACATAACCCTGCGATTATTGATTTTTGATCATTTATAAAACTGCAGTCATTCATTTGAGTACCGCTTCATATTGAATTGAAACATATCGAATACTTTATCATGATCAACGAGGACCAAAACCAGACGCTTTCTGCTTCGAAGGAAGAGATGCTGAAAGTTTTTGCTGAGTTTAGAGCAGCTAAATTCTACTTTCCGCAAGAATGGGAGATGCCTGGCAGCCGCGAACACAAGCCGTTTTTTGAGGCACAACCGGGGCACAACCACGTACAGGACACAGACGAGGGAATCGCGTCCGACGCAGATCGGCCGATGCAACGGCGATACGTATCTGACGCCGAAATATTGGGCTTGGACCGGTTCGGCAAAACGGCTGCGCCGACACATCAGGTGTATAGAAAAATCCAATTGCCAAACTATGCTGGTTCGGCATTCCGGTCAGCGATGGCTATAGTTGACGCCAGAATCAACTATCCGCTGGTATTGTCGGCGGAGGACGTGGCTGTCGACCAGATAGCGGTCTCACAGCAGACTTCGTCAACTCCGGAGTTCCAGACGCGGCCAGTGAAAATCCTGCAGGACGACGACCGGGAGAGAAGTCGATGGTGTTCGGCCAGGAAAGGTTCGTGGTCGTCCGAACTGCAGGAAATTGGAACAGCGGACAAAGAGCCGGAAGCAAAAAAGGGACGCCGCCGCCGCCGCACTGGCGTCGGACCATGCGGTTTGTGGGCCGTATGTTTTGTTGCGGCTCCTACGCGTCCGACGACTCTGAGATCGAAGATTTTCAAGACGCTTAATAAGTCAGCAGCAAGACGTGAACAGCTGTCGTCTGGACGCATTAAACATTTTTTATACATTTGGTAATAAATTGTTGTAATTAACGTTAATTGAAGATTTAGAATAGTTAATAAGTGGATACAAAAACATAATATTTCTAACAATTTACAATCAAATATTTACATACATTATTTTTATACATTTTACATATTAGGGGATACACAATAACATTGAAGATTTAGATTAGTTAATAAATGGATACAAAAACATAATATTTTCTAACAATTCACATTAAAATATTTACATACATTATACATTTGGTAATAGATTGTTGTAATTAAAGTTAATTACTCCTCGTTAAATACTACAATCTATTAAAAATGTACTTATTGTTTAAAAAAAATGTATGATTTCTGTTTCTAATATATTTGTTGCACGATTATATATTTTTGTTAAATTACAAAAATAATAAATTTATATAGGTACGTCTAACCTGTAAATAGTATAACTTCTATCACTCATAACCGGCGTGTTGCAATTAGAAAAGTTTAAAATATTGGTTGAATGTGATTTTAAACGTTTTACATTAAAAACGCATTATCTATATATAGGTACTTATAATAATATAATTTGTACTAAACAAACATAAAAAATACGATTTAAATCGATTTCTACTTTACATTTTGCTCGTCAACGTTAACAGATTTAAGTGAAAATAAACTTACTTGAACGCCTTGACGAAAGTCGTTGTTGGAGTGCATGTACAAGGCGGTGAAGTTCCTGACGATGTCAAACTCGAAAGTCATTTCTACTGATGACCCATAGCCCATAGTGTCGTTTTTCCATCCGACCCATTCGTTGTATTCTGTGGAAAACGATTTTGTTAAATGGTGGGGAAAAAAGAACGCAAAAAACATCATTGAAACCGATCATTGATAACGAATAAATTGAGTACAAAATACATACATAATATATTCTATACATTACATGTATATTGTTATTTTCACCGACTTACTTTTCACGAACGGTTCATCGATTCCGTATCGACCGTCGCAGAGTTGTCCTATACCGCCGACCAATATACCACCTTCCTCGCGACCGTCGTAACCCGTGTCTTTTACATCACCCTGTATTACCGAATAGCTGATTACACCTTCTGTGGAATAAAAAAAATAAAAATATTCTTTATGTTAATTTATCCAGTAAATTGTCTCGTTACGATATGTACCCATGTGTTTCTTCTATTATTATTTATTATTATTCATATACATGTAGTTTGCTTATCGTATTTTGTAAAACACATGTCATTTTATTTTTCTATTATTATCATACATTATGAAACGTAACGAGAAGTTGATATCCCAAATATATATTTTTTTTTTATATCGTGTTATACTTCACCACGTATAACTAGGTCAACATAGAATTAAATAACAAATTACTTATAGTGAGTACCTAATATTTTGTCGAAAATAAAATTGTATATTCTACTACGTCGTTAACTGCAGTGTAGTTTATTCTCGTCGTCCTTAAAGGTGTTCATTATGTGTACAGTATAAATTCCTAAAATACAAAAACCTGTCAAGACAGTGAAATTTAAATCTGAATGCTTATAAAATATTTAGCACTCTACGAAAAGCCTGAATTGAATGTATTAAAGTGTGTCTCATTATTCAATTACATAGAATTGGATTTCCGTCATTGTTTCAAAATTAAAATTCTTAACAGTCAAATACACATACTTCTTTGATTTTATTTTCATTTAGTTCAACAAAAAAACTTTCGGTAGAGACTATATAATGGCTACATTGGACTACTGCATAATATGGAATTTATAAGCATCAAAATATTATATTATTGAATGAAATGAAATTTGTCCGAAAAAGAGATTAAATAGGATTTAAGGTTAAGCAGATTTTACAAATGATGTGTTAGTGTTCTCTCATGGTCCCGATCAATGATCACTCTATCAATGAGTTACTATTTACTAGTCAAAAGTTTCAAATTGTATTCAAATCCTTTATAAATAGTTGAACGAGCTTGTAAATAAAACGTTCAAGTTATTTACTTTTGAAGACAAACGAATAAGTGTTGAATAAAATAGTTTTAAATGTTTTAAACCCTATACCAAGTCATGCAACAATAATAAGTCCATGTTAAATGATAGTTATACACACTTAAAATCCTGCAATAAACTGGACAATTTCTAATTTTTTTTTCGATAATTATTAGATAATATGACAATATCCTAATAATAGCAACGTTGTTTTTTTTGTTTTGATCATAAAAAAAATTGTTGACTTTTCTAAAATATTAAAACTTTACTCTTATCAGTTATAAATATTTATATATAATAAATATAGTATAATATAGTATAATAAAATATATTATATTATGATAATATTTGTAATAAACAATATTAAATAAACATATTGCATTTTTATATGCCGTCAAAAATCAACGACATATAGTGTAAAAAGTAAAAACGTATTAAGGGGATTGGAAGCGGCGATTTTCTGTCTTTATCTAACACACGTGGAACATAGGATTATAGACGTGTTCTATGTCCAACGTACCGATTAATCTAATGAAGCGATAAGAATTCTGAAAACAGATTTGAATTTGTCGTCAAGTCTACTTGAGATCGACTTTCCCACATTTTTGATATTGTCCCACCAAAATCATAAAAATGATATATTATAAAAAGTACTTAAAAAATTTACAAATTTCAACTTTTGGAGAAGTTTAAATCAAAAAAGGTGGGCAAGTGGGTGTCGCTCTGCTGTACAGTAGGTTACAAGTGGGTCACTGTATAATGGATGATATTAAATTTGAATTCAACGATATAATATCATTGTATAAGAAAAACGATTCTGAGCGGAGACGGTATGTCAGTCTATGTTTAAGACATATTATATACATATCTATGGTATTAAACAAAAAATTGACCTATAATAGGTACCTATAATAAATTCCAAATTAATCATATCACAATGTCCATTAGGTACTTATAACGCGTTATACATCAACAAAACCGTGATACTATCATAGATATATAATAGTACACTTTAGAAGTTTCAAGTACCCACGAATAATATTATTCAATCACAACAAAATAACTAAAATAGTTATTCTAGGTTTTTTAATATGTAATTTCGTCAAAATTTGAATTTAAAATGTCTGTAAAAAATAACTGTGTTCATATATTTTTTAGATTTTTTGGTTACAGTATGAACTATTTATGAGAACCTTTGTTTTAAATTTGCAATCCTTAGCTATAAAAACTGAACATTTTATAATTTATTAATTTCAATGATTGATAATTTTCGAGATTTTGATAAATTTTGTCAAAATTTGATCTTTAAATGCTTATAAAAAAAAACTGTGCCTATGTATTTTTAATATTTTTCAACTGCTATTGTAACAGTATATCAGGAGCCTTGTATTAAATTTTTACACTTTTTGGCCCAACAGATAAAACTTTATTGATATTTATAGAAAAAAAAACTAAAAAAAATTGAAAGCTGTAAATGTCCATAAACAGCTCAAAAAGAGTCAAAATATTTTCAAAATTGTATGGTGTATAGAAAATGCTAATTTAAACATTCAGTGAAATTTTCATGTATCTACAGTTATTTTTTTTTGAATTACAACAAACTAAGGAAATCGCTACATGGGAAATCGAGTGAATATTCAATGTTGTAAAAATTTGAATTTCAAACGCTCATAAAAATTTAATTTGACTTTCTTATAGACATTTTTTTTTTGATAAAGGTAGATAATCTTATAAGGAATCTTGTGTTAAATTTTCAAATCTTAGATTTAAAAAGAAAAATTTTTACGAATTCTTAACTCAAAATAATTTGCTAATTTTCGTGATTTTTCCATATTTTGTCAATTTTTGAACTTTAAATGCTTATAAAAAAAAATTGTGACTAAGGATTTTTAATATTTTTCATCTGCCTTTGAAACAACATATTAGGAGCCTTCTATTAAATTTTCAAGCTTTCGCAACCAACAAATAAAATTTTATTGATATTTTAAGAAAAAAAACTAAAAAAAAATGGAAAATGAAAATGTCCCTAAACAGTTCAAAATAAATCAAAATATTTTGAAAATGTTATCGTGTATAGAAAATGCAAATATTAACAACCAGTGAAATTTTCATGTATATACGTTCATTTGTTTTAGAGTTACACCAATAACCAAAATCGATTTTTTGGAAAACCAATTTTGCGTAAAAATTCCCGTTTTTCCTTAATTTTTGTGTTGTTTTTCCCGGCGCTTGTGAAAACTACTGCGAAATTTATACTTTTGACCCCCCAAAGTACCAACTAGATTCACTTTCCTATCAGAAAAGCTACTGATGAAGAAAATCCAAGCACTTTTACTGTCCTAAAACGTGATGACAGACACAAAAAAAAATAAAAAAATAAAAAAAAAAATAAAAAAAAAAATAAAAAAACACACATCATTGTAAAATCAATACATTCATCGTTTCACTCTGAATCTAAAATCAAAAATGTGGGAAAGTCGATCTCAAGTAGACTTGACGACAAATTCAAATCTGTTTTCAGAATTCTTATCGCTTCATTAGATTAATCGGTACGTTGGACATAGAACACGTCTATAATCCTATGTTCCACGTGTGTTAGATAAAGACAGAAAATCGCCGCTTCCAATCCCCTTAAATAATCATTTGTTACATTTGAATTTTTTGTTTAATAAAGATAGATTTGTATTATTTTAATGTATTTATAGTTAAGGTATTTGTTGGTTTTTTTGACTACTACATGTATAATACTAATATTATAAATAGATTTTGGGCTATTGCTTTCATTCAACTATTCAAGTGAATTTTACTGTAGAATTAGGCATTTGAACATACAAAATCGGGTCAGTGGAAGAAAATATTTTGAAAATTTTATCAAGTATAGGAATTGATAAAATAAACATATAGTGTAAATTTAAGTTTACTACTGTTATTCGTTTTTGAATTACAACAAAATAAGAAAATCACTGCTTGATAAATCGAGTCAATATCCAATGTTGTACACATTTAAACACTCATAAAAATTTAATTTTAC